TCTAGCTGTTGTCTTGCAAGAGGATTGGCCTGTCTCTAGTAACCAATCTTGGCTGCTTAATCACAAACATCCTCCTCATTTTGTCCAATTGGTTGCAGTAGACATCCACTGTAATGGATTGACCAGGTTTCATGAAGCTGTAGTGGATAATACCAGCACTGAGTCACCAAACAGACACCATTAGCTTTTTTTAAATAAATATTCTGTTTTGGACTGTGTCTCGGCACTTCATCTTCATCCAACCATTGTGCGAGATGCTTGCGATTGTCAAAAAGAATCCATTTTCATCACAGGTATCAATACAGTGTATCAATACAGGTTCGCCTTTATGTCATGACAGCAAAGAAAGGCAAGCTTTGAGATGATTTCTCTTCTGATGCTCATTTAATTCATGTGGAACCCACCTATCTGGTTTTTTTACTTTGCCAATTTGGTTCAAATGATCGATTATTGTTGGAATAGTAACGTCAAACCTTGCTCCTAATTCACGCATAGGTTTAGATGGATTCGCTTCCACTACACCCTTTGACTTACTGTTAATCCACTTTGGTTCAGGTTGCCCACATGGCTCATTTTCAAGATTAAAATCTCCAGAACAGAACTTCTGGAACTATCAATGTTCTATGCGTTCGTTAGCCACATTCTTCCCAAACGCTTCGCTGGTATTTCGAGCTATCTGCACAGCATTGGTTCCATGAAGGAATTCATATTAAAAAATAACACCAATTTTTGACTTATCCATAGTTTCATAAAAATTGCTTTAAAAAAATTTGAAAGATAATCACATGTAAAAAAAACTATGCATTTGAAAGAATGAGAACGTACATTCACAATAAAAATAAAACAAGTGTCAAAGTGAAAATATCAGAGATATTAACTGTCAAAATTAGTACTCAAGGAAACCAGACATTTCATACTTAATGGCCCAATATTAAAACAAATTAACTGAATAATATATTAAACCTCTATAGAAAATTTGTGAAGATGAATTACCACAATAGAAAGTATCAATTTTCCTTTTCTTTCCTTCTCTTTACATTCCATTACTTTCTTCCTCCTCTTTTGGGGGATGGGAAGTTATTTGTTCACTTATTTTTATTTTTAATCAACAAAATATTTAAAATCTCCTAAATTAATTATCTAAGTTGAGGTTAATTCAAATATTTGCTAATTTTACCAATAAACATTTAACTTTGTGCTTTCCTTTATAGAATGACAATGGTAGATTTCCCTGAATGCAAATGAGAGTGGCAGTTAATATCAAAGGAGCTAAAGTCAAATGGCCAAAGAAAATTGTTCTTTTAACATTGCTTGTGGAAAACATAACTGAAAGTTGATGCCATATTTTTTTATTATCTGCAGCTTTTTAAATGAGGATTTGATCTTCCAAGTTCAAGAAAACATCTGTACTTAATTCCTGGGAATTTGCAAGAATCACATTTAATCACATTTAATCCCAGTTTCATCTGGGAAAAATGCAAGGTCTGTTTTTAAAATATGACTGATTATAAGCCTCATAAATAGCACAGAATGGGGAAAATGAAAATAAAGAATCAGATCAAGAAGATAAATATTAACCAGCTTAGGCATTTATCTGTGGTTGCAGGATCCACGAGAATGCAAGTGCATTTAGTATATTTACATATTAGTGTGGCTTTGATGAGCCATTTATATCTTTTTAGTACTTTGAACTTTAAGTAAAAGGTACTATAAATATTCTTGTATCAGTTCATGTTCCTTTAAAGGCAAATGTTACATTCAGTATTCTATATTCCCCTATTTAATATTCTGTAAATATCTGTTAAAAACGAACATTTGCTTCTACAAAGTAGAAAAGTAAATATTAATGGAATGCAAAGAGATATGCTGCTAAACCCAGTCTGCCAAAATGATATATAACATGATCTATGACCTCTACTTTCATACTATAACATACAGTAAATGTATTTTAGATCAAGTAATGTATTTATTATTACAAAAATAAATAATAATAACCATCTTCCAGAAAGCTCTGTAAAGAACTCCTTTGTATTATGTTTTCTAATAGGTATAATCCTAAAATTTGCATAATGAATAATTTCTTACAGATTAATTCTGTTGCAAGAAAATCCTTTTAAACATGTTTATCTTTAGTGGAATGAAAATCAGTCAACTTACAGAACTCCAACTGTGTGTCATGGGAGATGGAATGTGTATTGTGTTCTTAAGATATTTACAGCCTTGGGGAGAGAACCACAGTGTGCCAAGGAGTGACTCGGGTGGGAAGCTTTAGGCCCGCCTCATAATATCCATTAACCCCTTCACCTACACCCAAACCACTAAGCAGACAGTCCTCAACTTACCGTGGTTCCACTTAGGATTCTTTGGCTTTATGGTGGCAAGAAAGTGATAATTCAGTAGAAACTGTACTTACAGTCCCCATACAACCATTCTGTTTTTCACTTTCACTATAGTGTTCAATAAGTTACATGAAATATTCGACACTTGATTATAAAATAGCCTTTGTGTTGGATGATTTTGCCCGACTCTAGGCTAATGTAAGCGTTCTGAGCATGTTTAAAGTAGACTAGGTTAAGCTATGATGTTTGGTAGGTTAGGTGTATTAAATACATTTTTGATTTAGAATATTTTAAACTTACAGTGAGTTTTTCAGGACGTATCGCCATCGTAAGTTGAGGAGCATCTGTATATAAGCATACAATCTACGTACAGCTGTCCTCGATATATGCAGGGGATTAGTTCCAAGACTGCCTTTGCAGGTACTCAAGTCCCTCAGTCAAGCCTTGCAGAACCCATGTAATAGGAAAAGTTGGCCCTCTCTATGTGCAGGTTTTGCATCACGCAAATGCAGTATTTTCCTATGCAAATACAGTATTTTCCATCTGTGTTTGGTTGGAGAAAATCCACATATTGTGGACCTATGAAGTTCAAACCCATGTTGTTTATAAAATAGTTCAAACCCATGTTGATTATAGGTCAACTGTATTAAAAACCAGTGTGGGCCGGGCGCGGTGGCTCACGCCTGTAATCCTAGCACTCTGGGAGGCTGAGGTGGGCGGATTGCTCGAGGTCAGGAGTTCGAAACCAGCCTGAGCAAGAGCAAGACCCCGTCTCTACTATAAATAGAAAGAAATTAATTGGCCAACTAATATACATAGAAAAAATTAGCCGGGCATGGTGGCACATGCCTGTAGTCCCAGCTACTTGGGAGGCTGAGGCAGGAGGATTGCTTGAGCCCAGGAGTTTGAGGTTGCTGTGAGCTAGGCTGACGCCATGGCACTCACTCTAGCCTGGGCAACAAAGTGAGACTCTGTCTCAAAAAAATAAAAAAATAAAATAAAAAAAAAAACCAGTGTGATTGCTGTGCAAAATCACCTTCGAGACAAACAGCCTAGTGCCCTTCTTAAACCTAATTTTCATACTCTTATCCCAGCCTCCTTTTTTAAAAAAAAATCAATCAACAAATATTTTTTTATGTCCTTATTAGGTAGATGGTAAATATCAAAAAATATTGAAATATGCATTCCTTTGAACTTGTAATTTTTTCCCCTTTAACTTTAAAAAAGTTGTGGTAAAAGACATATAACATCGAATTTACCATTTTAACCATTTTCAGATGTACAATGCAATGGCATTAAGTACATTCACATTGTTGTGCAAACATTGCCACTATCCATCATCCCAAACTAAAACTCTGTACCCATTAAACAACAAGTCCATATTACTTTCTCCTCGAAGCCCTGGTAATCACTGTTCTACTTTCTGCCTCTATGATTGACTTTTCTGGATACCTCATATCAGTGAACTCATACAATATTTGTCCTTTCAGTCTGGCTTGTTTCACTGAGCAGAATGTCACAAGGTTCATCCATATTGCAAGCATGCATAACGATTTTCTTCCTAGGTTAACTAATATTCCCTGACCTCTTTTATATGGAAAGTAGATTTTTAAAAAATAAGTTTTGAACTGGAATGGGCCATAGAAATCATCCCATCTGATCTCTCTGCCCGTTTTTCTTTTCCTTATTTATGTTTACTCAAATGAGGAAAACAAGCCCCTGAGAGCTTAAGTAGTATAGCCAAGGTTATATACCTGGTTGGCTATGCAGAGCCTAAAAACCAGCTTTCCTGAGGCCTAAAACAAAGCCTCTTTCTACCACACACCCTCCAGGCCCATATAGACAAAAAAAGGTAAGTATTAAATGAATTAATTTCGCCAGTAAGTGTTGCAAGGATTCAGAAGGAAAGATAAATTGACCTGAGAATCTTTAATGACTGAAATGTTACATTTAAAATGAAACATCCAAAATAGATTTGAAGATTAATGAGACTCTAGATTCTGATTAACAGTTATCAAAATTATAAATAATATTCTTCCGGAAAAAATTGCTCCTACACACCACACATACATCTTATTTCTCTTTTTTTTCTGCCTTGAATTATGCATTAAATTTGTATATAGTTAAGGTAGTCACACTGAATCTGCTTCTTTATACATTCTATCTGATTTTAGGTTTCATTTGTGACACCACGGTTGTTCTAAAAGTATCTAATGAACAAAGTTTTTATTTAGTAAAAATACTCATGACTATGGGAAAGAGTAAAATAGGGTCACTATCCCATTTTAAAGTGTTTCTAGGCCGGGCGCGGTGGCTCACGCCTGTAATCCTAGCATTCTGGGAGTCCGAGGCGGGCGGATTGCTCGAGGTCAGGAGTTTGAAACCACCCTGAGCGAGACCTGTCTCTACTAAAAATAGAAAGAAATTAATTGACCAACTAAAAATATATATACAAAAAATTAGCCGGACATAGTGGCACATTCCTGTAGTCCCAGCTACTTGGGAGGCTGAGGCAGGAGGATGGCTTGAGCCCAGGAGATTGAGGTTGCTGTGAGCTAGGCTGACGCCATGGCACTCACTCTAGCCTGGGCAACAAAGTGAGACTCTGTCTCAAAAAAATAAATAAATAAAAGTAAAATAAAGTGTTTCTAAAATATGGAATACTTTTTCATAATTTTCAAATGAGCTCTGGGAAGTCTTTGAAATGCTAACATGGAATACTTTGTATGCAGATCAACTTGTGGTTTTTTCCTAGGATTTAATTTTTGTTACAAAAAGGCAATATAAATTGACTCATAGCCAAACAAGGCTTCTCAGTTGCAGCCATGGGATTTCCTGTTCTGCTCCTAAGTAACCAGTAAGGGCAGACCTTACTGTGGCACCTCGTGTTTCCTTAAATTGCTGCATAAAAATTAGTTGAGCGACATTCCCTTTTCTCTGCCCAGATCTACTGAATCAGTACCTCCAGGGTAAAAGTCCAAAAATCTATATTTTTAGTAGGTGTCCCAATTAATTCTTGATTTTACTAATTTGGAAAACACTGCGTTAGCACAAGCTCCCATTTAGAAGCTACCAGAACAACATTTGAGACCAAGGGATGTCTTTGCAGCCTATTGCTCTGAGCAGCGTAAGTGAGCAAAAATGTCGACTAATGTGGTCCATTAGTAGCCTCCATAGAGCTAGGGTAGACTGACCAGTTTAGAATGCTGTGTGTGTCAATAGTATTTGAAGGTTAGGGAGGACAGAGGGAGAAATGTTAGGGTTAAATAGATGGGTGTATGTATCCCACATTAATATCTTTTCTCACAAAACCAAATTAAACTTACTATTTTGGGCAATTTAATCAACAAAATTAATCTTGCCAAGGATAAGTCACCTCTAGATGAGAGAGTATTTCAATTTGGTGCTCAAAAAATGTGGTTCAGTCACCAGTCATTCAGATACAGCTTTGGTTTATTTTTGTAAATGAATACAGAAGAGATGGAGACTTTTAGATAAATAAATATGGGCCCATGTGCCTAAAGGCACCTGGGTAATTCTGATAAAACCCAAATAAACAGATGGCAAGGATGAATTCTATATATACAAAGCTAAGAGGAACTTCATCAGCCAACATTTACTGAACACCTCTGAGGTATACACTAAGGTATGGAAAACAAATAGTTTTCCAAAATGTTTGTACCAATTTCATTCATGCCAGCAAGGTATAGGAGTTTCTTTTGTTCTGTATCCTCACCAAAACTTAAAACTTTCAGTCTTTTTATTCTGGTTGTTTCACTGGATATGCAGTGGTATCCTGTTGAGATTTTAAGTTGCATCTTCCTGATTACTAATAAAGTAGACTACCTTTCCATATATTTATTGGCTATTTGAATATCCTCTTATGAAGTGCTTATTCAAGTTTCTTGCCCTTGAACTGATTCTGAGCAGGTGAGTGGGCACAAGGCAGAGAAAGCGGCATAAAGGTCTTGTAACCAGAGGGACCAGGAGGTGCAAATCTATGGTCTTCGGGGAGCATGGGAGTAAATAAGTTGATGCCTCCAGTAACTAAGTTGGAAATCAGCTGCCAAAAGGCCAAACTTATCAGAGCCTATGAAGTAATGACAGGAATATCACACAGATTTATGTGAAGTGACACCAAAAAAGTACAGGCAGTCCCAAACTGTAATACTTAATGGATTCTGAGAAATGTTTGACAATCAAATATATGAAAGTTACACAAAGCTTATACAATGGAAAGACAATTTAGTTTCCAATGAGCTAAAAGGTAGTATTGCAGACCCCTAGTAATGCCTGCAGTATAGTTTCCCTCTGGCCTAGGAAACCAGGTGGGCAGATAAGCATCTCAGAGGGACGTCAGGGGAGGCTACTGGTTAGCAGGTGGCACAAGAAATTGGGCCCTCTTGCATACTTTGTGTGAGCCCACCTCTGTTTCCCATCCCTTCTGCCGGGACAGCCTCCTGTCTTTAAACTTCTCCCTGAGGGAGCCCGTAAGTGTGGGCAAGGGAGAGGTGGAAAGTCTGTGTTTTCCCTACAAGTGTAAGCCAAATAGAGCCTTGGCTGCCCCCTAAGCGTGTGCCCAGAGGCTCCGACAGCTGTACCTCCTTGAAAGAGGTCGCAACAAACGCCTTCTGAGACATCCAGGTACTTCATGGAAGCCGGGCCTTTTCCCCCAGCAGCAGTAGCTGTTGGGCATGGCCACCACACAGTAGCTTCAAATTGCCATTCTTCAGAGGAGGAGTGAAAGACCAAATTCAGGATATGAATGGTTGGGGGGTGTGGAGTCCATGTACCATGGCAAAAATGTGGGCTCTGTAGAAGTATCGGATTTTCTGCCACAAGAAGGGAATGTCAACAAATGCTTTGACTCGCTGGCCTATTGGAGAGTGGTTCTGTTTTGTTGAGGGCCCTTCTCTATGTCGTCACACTTCTGTCACTGCAGACAACTGGGCTCTTCACACAAGTACAGGCAGTCCTGGCCCTAGAATCCTCATAAACTATCCTGACAAAATATGCCTGTCTCATACAGACAGGAAAATGGCTCGCCCAGGCCACTCGTAGATGGTCTGCTACGAAGCTGTACGAAGCTGGAGTAGTCTCACAGACTCTAAGAGCCAGAGTTTCCACCCAGATGCCCAGAAACTGAAGCAGTCAGATCTGGCCTACATAAAGGAACTTTATTCTGGGTTACTCCGAGAATTACAAGTAGTTCCCAGGCTTCGGATTTAATGGACTAGTAAGTTTTCAGAAAAGGTTGCAGTGACCCATATAAACTTGCCAACCTCTTACTTTCTCAAGTAAGGGCATGTGACTGTGGTTTCTGTGGGGTGGTATTTAATAGTCGTAGCTGTCATTTATAATCTACTACATGCAAAGCTCTGTGCTGGGTACTTTTCCAGAAATAGCTCATTGATCTTCATGACGTCACACTGCAAGGTAAGTATTATCTTCCTGTCACAGCTAAGGAGAGGCTCAGAGAGGCTGAGTGAATTGCCTAATGCCACACAGCTTATTAGTCGCAGAGCTAGGTTGTGAGCCCAGGTCTATGGGATTCCAAAGCCTCTGTCTTTTCCACTATATTGCTTATCACATCTGAAATAGGTGTAAATTATATAGATATGATTTTTAAACATCTGGTTTTCTGATGAGATGATAGGATGGCTAGAAATGAGAGTTTTACCTCTGTAGAGAGCTTTGGGTTTCCAAAAAAGTTTTAAGATCCTTTTTTTCATCTGACCTACTTCCATTTTTTCAATATTTCTCCAACTGGACTAGAAAATCCCACAGAAGCTAATGACACCATAATTCTATCTGACATGGCAACATAGTTTTATGTTAACGTACAGACATACATTTGTTCTGACATGGTGAGGAATGAAACTTTTTTAAGCCTGTTTTGCTGAAATGTGACTTGAAATAATGTTGTTACAAAAGTAAGCTTATGGGAGGTTATGTCAGTGCTCACTGCATCATTAATTATTTGGCTGTTAGAGTGAGTAGCTCTTAGTGGGAAAGGTTGCCTCACAGATCTGCCTTATTGACCACATACATGGGGAAGAAACCCCTATCCCATTATTTTTACTGTTTGGCCAGAGAACAAATGACAAAAGAATAGATTGTGTTTGCATTTGCTAAGATGACCAAAACCTCTCTTTCGAGAGAGGTGTTATGGGCTGGACTGTGTTCCCCAAATGACCACAGGTTGAAGCCCTAAACCTCACTACCTTCGAATGTAACTGTATTTGGAGATAGGACCTTTAAAAGTTATGTGAGCTCATACAGACGGGCCCTAATCCAACCTGACTGGTTTTCTTACAAGAAGAGGGAGAGACACCAGAAATTCCTGCCCACAGAGGAAGGGCCAGGTGAGGGCGCAGTGGGAAGAGGCCATCTGCAAGCCAAGGAGCAAAGCCTCAGGAGAAACCAAGCCTGCCAACAGCTCGGTCTTGGACTCCCAGTCTCCAGAACTGTGAGAAAATAAAATTTTATTGTTTAAGCCACTCAGTCTTTTTTTTTTTTTTTTGAGACAGAGTCTTGCTTGCTCTGTTGTCCTGGCTAGAGTGCCATGGCATCAACCTAGTTCACAGCAACCTCAAACTCCTGGGCTCAAGGGATCTGTCTGCCTCAGCCTCCTGAGTAGCTGGGACTACAGGCATGTGCCACCATGCCTGGTTAATTTTCTCTATATATTTTTAGTTGTCCAGCTAATTTCTTTCTATCTTTAGTAGAGACAGGGTCTCTTGCTCAGGCTGTCTCAAACTCCTGAGCTCAAACAATCCACCCGCCTCTGCCTCTCAAAGTGCTAGGATTATAGGCGTGAGCCACCACACCTGGCCTAAGTCACTCAATCTTAAACAACAAACTAAAACCAGAAGAATTAGACATTAGGCATGAGTGTATGTACCCCCTTCCCCTGGCCCTGGCCACCAATGCCATGGCAGCCATTTAAGGGAGACATCAGTAGAATATAATATTTGAGCTTTTACCACCCAGCAGGGTACTTTATAGAGAAGCTGAAGATCAATTGGGGAAAAGGTTTTTCTGAGAGTAAAAGGGAAAGCAAGAGTTGATTAAATAATAATGTATAATGATCAAACTAGTGGCAGATAGCTAGGTGTATGTTTATTTTTTGCTATATAATATGCCTTATAATAATGTGCTTATGATTATTATCCAGCAGTTACTCATTTTTTCCCTTATGTTAACAGCTAACAATTATGAAAATTCATTGGCTAGATTACTGATCAACAGTGTGGGCTTCTGCCAGCTCACCTAGGTTTGAATCTTGTCCTGCCACTTCCTAGCTATGTGATTTTGGGCAAATTACCTCCTTGTGCATCAGTCTCTTCATCTGTGAAATGGAGATAATAATGCCTACTTGATATGTTTGTATGAAAATTAAATGAGTTAATATATGTAAAGTGCTTAGAAGGATCCCAAACATATAGTGAGTACCTAATAAATATTAGCTATTATTATTTCAACTGTGGCCTATCTCTGCACATGAATAACTGATAGCAGAACCATGATTCCTCCAAGATACCTGCCACCAGGTGCCAGCTGCCCCTAAAATTGCCAACATAGTAGTAAAGAAAAATAGCCTAGAAAACAGAAGATATTAAATCTCACTGTTTAAAGTCATCTAGGATGCTGACAAAAATACAGATGCCTAGGCCTTGTCCCCAGAGATTCTGATTCACTAAGGTGGGGTTCTCTAAAAAGAGAAATTTCTCTTTTTAGTAGGTACCTTGTGTAATTATGATACAGGTGATTCTGAGAACACCCTGAGGAAGACTAATCTTCAATAGTCAAAACTATTAAATTATGATAAATGTCTTAACTTACTAATTATAAGTCTATAATTTTCACTTAAAGTATAATATTTAAATAAAACTAACTTAGGTGAATGAGTATGTAAAGTTACTTTTAAAAATCATCTGAAAGATAATTTCCGTGAGTGTTAAGAGAGAGGTATTGATAAACCTGAGAAAGAAATTCTGTACTGATGTAGCCCTCAATTTCTCTGTAGACAGATTATCTCAAGTTGGATCATTCAAGGCAAGGATGAGGATGAGGTCATTCAAGAGTGGTCAATGTCGAACTTGGGGATAACTTTGGAACTGAAACACATGATTATTGTGTTATGGAGAATTCCTAAAATCTGTACACCTGTTAATTACAGGGCTGCAGTTCACAGCTGATAATTCTTTCCCATTGATCAAGTTGCTGTGTGTGCTAAGCAGTGGCTGCTCAGGTGGGGTGAGAGTGGTCATTGTTGAGGAAATACAGCTCAGGTCCACAGAGCAGGGGAGCAGCTTGACCCATAATCTTAAGAAGAAAAGAACTTTTTTTTTTTTTAAGCAAATTTGATACAAACCAACTGTGACAATTCAGAAGTAACTCCATTGCTTTGGCATCTTCATAGTTGTACTAATTCTCAGCCTCCTAGAGTCCATTAAGGGAACTTCTTTTAATCAAGGAAACTGTTTATTATCATAGTAAAGAGCCCAGGCTACTGGGTATGACTGATTTCCATGCCCTGCCGTTTAGTCTTGTGTAACCTGAAGTAGTTACTTAACCACTCTAATCTTCACTTTCTTTAACTATAAAACAGGGCTCATAATTCTCACAATAATGAGATGGGAATTACTCAAGCTTTCAATAACAGGTAGCTACTATTAAAAAATGAGAAATGTTTGTCTCCTAATTGCAACATAGGCCCAATAGATATATCGAGGTATGATAGCATAACACTTTTAAAAGCCAAAACTTTTCAAGTCTCAACAAGTTTGCATGTTTCACTGCATGTTATTATTTAAACTTAGTAGAGGAGCAGCACAGATAATGGGACTTTTTAAAATGGGGTTCAGAGGAGTTGGCTATGAGACGGCTTGTGCTGCCAGCCCAAGAATGGCCTTAGATCTTACAGGACTCACAGTGCTTTCTTGTCTGGTACTTAGTACTTTAGAAAGTTGCCCAAAAACTGTAGCACAAATCCTCTCCCACTTCTCTTTTCTTCCCACAGGGTGACAGAACGTGCACTATTTCAGTACCGCTGCCAAGCCTACAATGACCATTCTAAGGTCATTACAAGAATTTGGCTTTACCTTGTCTGTTTATGTCTACCTGCTTACCTGTCTAGGGATTTGTAAATATAATGTAGATTTTCCTTCCAAGATTCTTATTTCAGTGATAATTCAATTCTTTGTATAATGTATTTTTGAGAGTGCAAGAATTTTTTAAGATTTTAAAAAATACATTTCAAACTTAATATCTCTCTTCCACATTGAAGATGGGAATAGGATATATGCTAACTGGCTGTTCACCATGCTGACCAGGTTGGCTGCCAGATGGGTCGTTAGCAGTGCCGGAGGTACCCTGACAGCACACTCTGAACTGCTTTCTCTTTCACATTCTGGTACTTTTTCAGCTGACAGCCCAGAGCGTGGGTACGGATTCTGCTCGCAGCTGCAACTGAAAAGCAAGGTTCAGAAATGTCAGATATCCTCCGGGAGCTGCTCCGGGTCTCTGAGAAAGCTGCCAACATTGCCCGGGCGTGCAGGCAGCAGGAAGCCCTCTTCCAGCTGCTGATCGAAGAAAAGAAAGAGGGAGAAAAGAACAAGAAATTTGCAGTTGATTTCAAGACGCTGGCTGATGTACTGGTACAGGAAGTTATAAAACAGAATATGGAGAACAAGGTAAGAAAGGTCACAGCCAAGGTAGTTGCAAAATACTTGCCTGTGTCACTTCCCCCCCCCCATAAAAAGCATGCCTTTTACTCCCCTCACCCCTTCAGAATACTAGCACCTTGGATTCAAATAAATGTCTTGTGGGTTTTTTTCTGCCTTGTTTTAATTACAATATTAATAAAATGTTCATTGCAGAAAGTCTTTACAATACAGAAAGGCAAAGAGGGAAATAAAAATCACTCACAATTCTAATACCTAGAGATAAACATTTTTATATAGAACCTTTCATTCATTCATGAGTTTCTTAATAAATGATGTTCTCTAGAATATAAGCAAAACTAATAATCCTCTTAATCTCATCTCTAGAGAAAACCACAGCTATGTTTTGCTAAATATTTTTAGAACATTTTCCTTCTACGTGTATGTATGTTCATGATGTGTACAATTTATTTCAACAGAAATGAGAGCATATTGTTTTGTAACCTGATTTTTTTTTTAACTTGGTATATTAAGTCATACCTTTTGGACTTAGTCATTTGTATAATAGTTGCCTTAGTTATGGGATTGTGGCTGGAGACTTAAAGTTTCATTTTATTGTAGTAGAAAAGCATTCTTTATAACAAACTAATTGTCATTCTAAGTATCTTGAGCTGACTGAGGAAGTAAACTGTTCCTAAGTTATAGTAATAATAATACTAACAGGACTTATACATGCTGACCATGTGCTAAGCACTGTTCTAAGGGCTTTAAATATATTAACTCTTATAACAATTTTATGATGTAAGAACTGTTATTCCAATGTAATGGATGAAAAAGGAGTCACAGAGAAGTTAAGTAACTTGCCTAAGGTTACACAGCAAGTGAATAGTAAGACCAGTTTTAGACACAGTTTTAGGCAAAATGGCTCTAGAGTCTGTTCCTTGTATTATTATATTGCCCTTTATATGATAATCTAATAGTTATTCTTTTTAGATTTGGGAAGATAGAACTTCATTATAGCATTATAAAATATGAGAATACTTTCTATGAAATTATCAAAATACTAGGAATCATCTAGAATCATTTAAGTGAAATCTTGACCACAAGCAGGAGAAGAGAATAAATGACATCATGAAATCTCCACAAACTTTACTTTTTTCATACTGTTTAATATCTGGCTCCAATAAACTAAATGAAGCAAGTTTGTTTCTTTCTTTCTTATCAATATAGTTGAATGCAAAAGATAGTTAAGCAACTGTATTAGAAATGTACCAACATTAATTTTTATGGGCTAATACTTCAAAGCATTATAACAAGTTCAAGCAATTGTTCATTTATGAATTGTATCCCATTTTGACTATAAAAATATCTTTATTTCATGACCATTATGTCCTATAGCCTCAGGAACAGGTCTTTAAACAGGTTGGAGAGATGGAGCTTCATTCCTTGATGAATGGGCTGGTTGCCAGCCTTTGTTGACTTGTACTGTCCTACAAAAGAAAAAAAAAAATAAGTGGTCACGGACATTATTAAAGCTATTGGCCATCTGCAAATGACTGAGTTCAAATATTTGAAGCATTTCCTTTTGTTCCCCAAGAACATCATGCATATCATAATTCAGCACATATTCTGAGAAAAATTATCTTTACTACAAAGATCAGAAGCAAAATGTATCAAAAGCTTCCCGATGATACAGAGATGAGAAAATTCTTACTTGACGCCATTTATTCACTCTATATTGATACTTAAATTATTAACAAATAAAATATTTCCCTTTTTTCTATATCACCTTTCTAGCCTGACGGCTAATGATACTTCCAACAGGTGGGGGAACATACACCTGAAAATGAAAACAAAAGCTAATAGTATCCTTCTATCCAGGCTCAAGTAAAAATTTTAGGTACTTAATCAACAATATTAACTCATATAAGCTACTAGGGTGTTGCCTAAATTAAAACATTTCATTTGCAAACATTCTAGCTCTATGGCCCTTGAGTAGAAGGGTGAAGTTTCTAGAAGTACTTCTGCAAACTGAACAGGACATGAGGAAACTAGACACTCACTATGATTTGGACCTTCTAGAGGGGCAAGGGAGCAGGAAAATTAGGCACTGAACCAAGCTAACTTCATTTTTTTTATACTTGGATTGGTTTCTAGAACTGGAAATTTTAGAATTTCAGAACTAATTGTGCTATTTAATTTGAAATATAAAATGAATCTGTTTGGAATTGAACATGTGTGGGCTTTATTTTGTTTTTTTGTCATACTCTGAATCATTCAGTTTCCAGGCTTGGAAAAAAATATTTTTGGAGAAGAATCCAATGAGTTTACTAATGATTTGGGTAAGTATAAGAATCTTAATGTGTTTTTGTAACTTAATTATCATATGGTATTCTAATCTCTAATTTATATAATAATCTCTAATTTATATAATAAAAGGTTTGGAAACCTTTTAATATAAATATATTTGAATGTTAAGGTTCATTAAATTTCTACCTCAGAATATCATGCCATTTAACTTAGATAGAAAAATGTGGTATCTTACAATAACTTAGTAAGTCCATGTATCATTTTAGATATCAATCTGTGGATTTAGAGAATTTATGATTTACCCTTTGGGAAAATTGTATGGCCCTTTGGAAATCTGATGTAAGTTAATCAATGCTCCAAAATGTACATCTACACAATTGTGCATATGATTTCAGACCCTAGGTCTAAACCCATTTGTGAACTCCCTGGGGAGCCCATGGTCCTTGGCTAAGAGTGTAGAGCAGGCCCTGGCCCTGAAACACTGTGTGATCTTGAGCAAATTACCTCATCATTTCCCTGGGTCTCAGAACCTCTGTAAAATACTTGAACTAAAAAAAGGTTCCCTTTAGTTCCAAGTTTTCTGTCTTATTTATTTAGTTTCCTGTGGGCCAGATTCTCCTTTGATGGACCTCCATGTTCCTTTGTGGTATAGAAGAAATCACAATCTCCATCGGATTCTTTCTTTTTCTTACTTTTTTTTTTTTTTTTGAGACAGAGTCTCACTCTGTTGCTCAGGCTAGAGTGAGTGCCGTGGCGTCAGCCTAGCTCACAGCAACCTCAAACTCCTGGGCTCAAGCGATCCTTCTGCCTCAGCCTCCCGAGTAGCTGGGACTACAGGCATGTGCCACCATGCCCGGCTAATTTTTTCTATATATATTAGTTGGCCAATTAATTTCTTTCTACTTTTATAATCATCGGATTCTTTTCAAAGAAACATTTTTTTAGTTTGGATTTTTTGTTTGTTTAATGGTTAAAGACTAAAATAGTGAACTATAGACACTGATCATATAACAAATAGTTCAATATCTGGAGGCACATTTACAAAGAAAAAATGAATTTCTAGACAAACTGAATTTTTCAATCTCCTTCATCAACAATATGTTAAGGTGCACTGGCTATGTATGTTAGTTCTATGACATTCAGTAAGAAGTACGATCTCATTTAAACCTTTGAAGATTTAAGAAATCCTACAAGAGTCGCTTATTTTTTTTATGTGTCAATCACATTTAAAATCCTACATTTGGACCAGGTGTGGTGGCTCTCGCCTTAATCTTAGAACTCTGAGAGGCCAAGGCAGGAGGATTGCTCGAGGCCAGGAGTTCGAAACCAGCCTGAGCAAGACCAAGACTCCCATCTCTATAAGAAATAGATTAGTTGGGCATGGTGACTCCAGCTACTCTGGAGGCTGAGGCAAGAAGATCACTTGAGCCCAGGAGTTTGAGGTTGCAGTGAACTATGATAACGCCACTGCACTCCAGCCTGGGTGACAGTAAGACCCTCTCTCCAAATAACGCTATATTTGACTACTATTTAAACACCTATTTTAATGTTTAATTTATCTAGAATTCATGAGGCAATCCATTTTCCTGTTTGTTGAAAGGACAGAGAATTGTGGAGAGAAGAGAGGAGATGGTGTATGATGTCAGTGCAGGCAGGACCAGATCACAGGAAGGAGTTTGAATTTCCTTCTAAATGTAATGGGAAGTCACAAATTTTAAGCAAAGGAGTGACATGATATGATTTGCTCCTTTGAATGATCCCATGACTTTTACTGAGCACAAAGTAGGTGTTAAGTGGAGATTCTTAGTATTATTATTCACTAACAGTCTAATTAAATTTGAATTTAATTGAATATATCATGTTGATTCAGTCGTCATTGTAATAGATTCATACTGTGCTTCCCAAACTTTAGTGATCATATAATTACCTCAGGGTCTTGTTAAAATTCAGTAGGTCTGGGGTGGGGAGGTTTTGAATTTCTAATAAGCTCTCAGGTGATGCAGACACCTGGACCCTGGAATAGATAGAATAGCTAGGAGTATTTGTCTATATATCTAAAAGCCCCAAAGCACCATGCTTTCTTAATTTTTAACAGTTTTTTTTATTCATTGCCATCATTTTTTGTTGCTATTCATTTGTCTATTTTTACCAGCCTCTTCCCTCACTTCTATTTGGAGCTGGGAACCAGACTAACCAAGGGTCTAAGAAGCATGTTTAAAGTGGTGGTAGGCTGGATGCAGTGGCTCGTGCCTGTAATCCCACAAGGGAGGCTGAGTGGGAGGATCACTTGAGCCCAGGACTTCAACGCTACAGTGAGCTATGATCACACCACTGCATTCCAGTCTGGGCAACAGAGTGGGACCCTCGTCTCCAAAAGAGAAGGGAGGAAGGGAGATGGTATATCATCTGGACTCAGTAACTTCTGGTTTAATTTGGAGAAGCACTTTTGCTTATGTTCTCATTCTCAGGTCTCACAGAAGAGAGCTATTTCTATGTATATCATCTAGAGTCATAGAGTTTTACTACATTTAAAGATTAGTATACTTCATCTTTTATTACTTAGCATAAACAATTTTCAGTTAAAAGCAGTATCATAAAACCTCTGTTCTTTTCAATAACATATTCAGGCATGAACAGGAAGACCTATATATATAAAAAGTAAAGACAAAATAACTAAATAAAAGATTAATGATCAATGATTCAGGAATTCTTAACTGGTCTATGTATCCCTTGAATTGGATACAAAATTGTGCCCACGTGGACATTTTTCTGGGGAGGTCTTTTGATTCCTGGAACCCATCCTCACTATTCAGATTAGGCGCATGAGTGGCCACTGGGCATCTGATTTTTATGAAGTCCCCCAGGTGATTCTGGCCGTCAGTAGGCTTAGGAACCACTGGCATGGAGATGTTGCCGTCACCTAATCTAAGAGCACAGCTTTGTTGTCTTCCCCGACACACACACTTATTGTCCTTTCTCCACTGAAACCCTTGAAATATAATGGCTTTTAGTTTGTCTTTACTCTAGGGGAAAAGATTACCTTGAGACTGTGTTCAACAGAGGAAGAAACAGTAGAGCTTCTTAGCAAAGTCCTTAATGGTAACAAGTTGGCATCTGAAGCATTAGCCAAGGTTGTTCATCAGGATGTTGCCTTTACTGACCCAACTCTGGATTCGATAGAGATCCACATTCCACAGGACAGTTTGGGAATTTGGGTGGATCCCATTGGTAAGTATAGGAGGGTATGTTTGCTTTCATTTATTTCTTCTTATATTCTCAATCTTTTTTTACTTTGAAAAATAAAAATTGAGAGTGTAGTTTAACTCTCCTAGAAGTTTTTAAAATTGTAAAGTTTTAAAATGATAAGCATTGAGGTGTATATGTTATATGTATATATACTTATAGCTATGTACATAGATATACATGTCTATAACAGGTATATGTATATATACCACATGTACATACATACAGGCACATATAAAAAGATGAATTAACTCATCTTTAAAAGACTTCGGGGCTAGCCTGGTAAATAAACGAGAGTGAGGTGATGGCAATTATCAGCAGTTGAACAAACAGGCTATTTGAAGAGCACTTAGCTCCAGCAGATCGTTGCCATATGGCAGTACAGGCCAGATCTTCAGATTTTTAAAAAAGAAAACAAAAGCCAGGTTTTCAAGTATGATATCCCAATTTTTAACCATTGGCTGCTAATTCAATTAAACAAACAATCAAAAACACTGTACAGGTGAGGCAGAACACAGCTGAATGTGACTCACGAGCAGTTTGAGCCCTGGATAAACCTTTCCATTATTTTTTGTCATTTTTGTGGTAGAACCATAACCTATAACTCATTGTTTTAAAAATGTATCCCTTATCCTTGATAGTGCTATTAATATGAAGTCCTGGGTACGAGTTTTAAGAAGTCTCCCTCCTTTTTCTTGTCCCCACCTCCCTGATATATTCCACCCAACACAATGAGACCATTCATTATGCCGAACTCCCCCCAACCTTTCCCATCCTCCAAGCACATTAACATGTTATAGAAATGGGTTTAGTCATCAGACAATTATGTAACATGCAGCCAAAAATTGTATATGGAACCTAAGAATCATTTCTAAAATCTTTTATTTCTTAAGGGTAAATTGGCATCAGTTATGGTTTCTAAGGGACAAAGATCTCCTGTTTCTTGCTTCCATTGCCGTTTCTTGATTCCATTTCCTAGCTCTTTGGATCTTTTGCCAGGCACATCCTGAACTGTGTGTAAGTTACTAGATGTTGACAGTCAACTGCTGGCATATACATATTTTAAGGGGAAACCTACCTCCTCTGCCTCTTCTTCACAGGAGCACCATTAATTTCTTCCTTTTGTGCCATCATTGTCTTTCTTCCAACTTGAGGAGTCAAATAATAATAAAAGATCATTGTACCTATGACAGATTCCTGGAATGAGGCTTTTCCATCTCACATTGTGATGGTCCTCTGATTAGTAACAGTTCTAAAATAATTCCACCAGTTATCCTGAGTTATCAGCTTTTAAATGCTTTTGACAAGTGACATATATTTGAGTGCTTATTATATGCAAGGGGCTACGCTAGATGCCACAGGCACTATAGACATGTCCTCTCCCCTCAAGAGTTCTCACAGAGTCAGGAAATGCAATATAAGCAGTTTAAAAGTGAAATACAAGTGATCAAATAGCAATTCAATACAAGTGACATCTGAAGGTAAAACCTGATTGGTCATCATATTAGTAGAAGAGAGAAATGACACAGGACAGAGTTCATAGATGTATTCATCATTATCTTCCAAATAATCTTTACCTAAATCCCAACACATCTGCTTCATTTTTCAGATTCAACTTACCAGTATATAAAAGGTTTTGCTGACGTCAAGTCCAACCAGGGAATCTTTCCCTGCGGACTTCAGTGTGTCACCGTTTTAGTTGGTGTCTACGACAGACAAACAGGGGTGCCCCTGATGGGGGTCATCAACCAGCCCTTTGTGTCACAAGACCTAAACACCCTCAGGTAAAAGACAGATGGTTTTGGTACATTATGGTTTTCAGAACTTATGACTTCAGCTTTGTTTATTGTCAGGATTATCAATCACTACATGACATTCCCGTGACTCGATCCACTGGGGTGTTCCCACTAAAAGTCTGCATGTTGGGATTAAGCTTCTTTCTATTTGCAATCCTGGATGTAGCATAATTTTATCTGGGGCCATGTACAGGCTGGTAAAAATTTTCAAAGAAATACTATCTTGGAGAAATCATGGTTTTACATTTGGAAGATAGCAATCCTGTTCCCTGTTTCTAGAATCCATTCAAAACCAGATGAATAGAATGGTGGTAACACTGTCTTCCAATACATGTGCAACAAGATAGATGTCATCACTGTATAGTCCGTTGAACTTTTGTGTAATTTTAGAAGAAATTCAAAATGTGAAAATTATCGAATGAAGAGATTGGTAGGTATGGCCAGAATTTGAACCTAATTAGGGCGTAACTGCTTATAAATGTCATCAGCATCGCTTCCTTTTCTACCTCCTCCCTCCTCACCCTTCCGTGGGCTCTTGAACAGAGAATAGAGGCTGGCCAGGAACCAGTGCCTCTGATCCGTGGCCTATGCTTTGGGGTTGACTCTAGGGCACGGCAGAGTCCAGCTGAAAGGAGCAGCTTCAGGTTTTAATTGAAATAAGTCATATTTTTACATTTACATGGGACTTTATATTTTTATTGAACTTTGAGTTGCTTCAGGTGAGTAAGAATTATTTGCTCTTTATAATAGTCACAAGTTTACAACTCTGAAATTTTGATATTTCTCCTCTGTCTCTTCCAAACCAAAAATGGGTCTCTGTTATCTTTTAAAGATCATTAAGATATTAGAAGGAACTGGGACAACATGCAGATGTAATCATGGCCTAGAAATGAAAGTAGTCAACTGAGTAGTTAGAGGTGCAGATTCTGGACTGAGACTGTCTGGGTTTGAATGCAGATTCTACCACTCACTAGCTGAGTGGGCCGCAACAAGTTATTTGCATTCTCTAAGCCTCTATTTCCTTATCTGTACATAGAACAAATTACCCAACATACCATGTTTCCCCGAAAATAAGACCTACCCATAAAATAAGCCCTAGCAGGATTTCTAAGCATTTGTGCAATATAAGCTCTACCCCTGAAAATAAGACCTAGTGATGGGCCTGGCTACGCAGCATATCTGCACAACCCATGCATTTCCTCAGGGAACGGTAAAGAAGAGCAGCCCTTCTCATCTGCCCCATCATGATAGCTACTAGCCCAGAGGTGACCGCAAAGGTACAGCAGCCCCACCAACAAGGTCGGCTCCCCCTGTCAGGTCCCGGCCATCCTGTGCATGCTGCAAGCTGAGGCTTTGAGGGGAAAATAACACATCCCCTGAAAATAAGCCCTACGTTGTCTTCTTGAGGTAAAATAAATATAAGACCCTGTCTTATTTTGGGGGAAACACAGTAGATAGTAAGTTAAGCATTGATAAGTGGAAGGTGCTATTACTATTGCCAAAAATAATGAATCCATCTCTCTTGGTATTAGAAACCAAAGTGAAACTAGTGAATGAAAGAATGAAAAGGTGTTACCAAATGAAGAAAATCTTGTTATGAGGATTGTAAAAGATTTGCAGATTGAAAAGAGCTATTTATCTGTTCATGTTTTGCCCTATTAAACTTTAAATGCCAAGAGTGATGACATTTTGCAGTAGTTCTGGAAGCTGGAAATGCCACAAATACTTCAGTGCTGGCCTACACTGAAGTGATAATGAGGTAAAATTAAAAGCATTCCTGACTCTGCAACAACTCAGGTAGCTGCATGCCTGTAACTTCTAGGAATAAACTAGCTACTTGATGTCTATTACTAGGCTTAAGGGCATTTAGACTCACTGTGTTTATGATATCATTTTTTTTATATCATTAAGTTTGAAAGCAACATGAATAATAGAAAACAAATGTGATAATCACCTCCACCAACTGAAATCTTCCTTCTACAGGTGGAAAGGACAGTGCTACTGGGGCCTTTCCTACATGGGGACCAACATCCACTCGCTGCAGCATGCCACCTCTGCAAGAAGCGGCCACGAGACTCAGCCTGGAAACACCAGCTCTGAAGCAGAATTCTCCCCCCATTTCTCAGCAGTCATTAGTACAAGCGAAAAGGAGACTATCAAAGCCGCACTGTCACGCGTGTGTGGAGATAGCATATTTGGGGCCGCCGGGGCTGGTTACAAGAGCCTATGTGTTGTCCAAGGCCTCGTTGACATTTACATCTTTTCAGAAGACACCACATTCAAGTGGGACTCCTGTGCTGCTCACGCCATACTGCGGGCCATGGGTGGGGGAATAGTAGACTTGAAAGAATGCTTAGAAAGAAATCCCGAAACAGGGCTTGAGTTGCCACAGTTGGTGTACCACGTGGAAAACAAAGGTGCTACCGGAGTGGATCGCTGGGCCAACAAGGGAGGACTAATCGCGTACAGATCCAGGAAGCGGCTAGAGACATTCCTGAGTCTCCTCATCCAAAACCTGGAACCTGCAGAGACACAGACATAGCTGGACGCGACCTCAGTATACATGTAAACTGAACTGTGAAGCTGCTTCCCATTATCTCTGTCTTTTGAAGATAGCTTTGTCCTATTGCTGGTACCATTCACCTTCCTCTCTCAGGAGCATTTTTCCATTATGTGTTCATAATAATGTTAACTGCAATAAATTAATATTCATGCAGCAGTTAAATTGATATATGAAATTCTTACAGTAAATATTGTGCCATTAGTATTCCTTGAACCACTTCAGTAAAATATTGAAGAGGGGGAAAAAACCTGTTCAATTAAACTGTTCCAAATATCTAAACGATAAGAGAAATAACTCTGAAATATAAGAGAATGCAAGAAGGGGGTTGCTTGGGTTTTGTTTCCTGTCTTGAAGAGAAAATCTGCAGTTACAGCCTATTGGCAGAACATTTAGAACTGCAAGTTTGCATAATTTAGCCATGTCTGTGTACTTTCAACAGCATTCTTGTGTTTCTTGTGGGAAAGAAAGTCTGGGGCACTGTGGGCTCCCTGCTTTGCAGAGACGGGGAGGGAGAGAGAGAGAGACAGGGGCACCCACACACAGAGGGAAAAGGACAGGGACACAGTGAGACACACAAACACAGAGATACACAGAGTGAGACAGACACAAAGAAACAGAGACAGACACACAGACACCCCATTTCTGTAGGTGAGGCAGAAGGTGATGCAATTTTTTGCATATTTACTACATTTCACAAAAATAAGAGGTAGGGTTTAGATATATACTAATATAACCCTTGTGTCTACCAACACCCCATAATGAATGTTTTCTGAGGTGGACACAGACCACTTTTTCTATTCTCTGCAGCAGGCTTGGTAACCAGGTGGTGCCAACTGGAGGGTGCAAACCCTCAGCTTGGACTTCTTTCTGCCCTGCGCCCTCTGGGGGCCAAAGGATGTTTCTACAGGTAACTTTCTCTACAATTACAAATGGATGAAAATAAGGCAAACTTTTTTTCCTAATGTCCTTAAATTTTTGAAAAAATTTTAATTGACAAATCGAAATTGTATATTTGTTTATTTTTTTGAGACAGAGTCTCGCTTTGTTGCCCAGGCTAAGTGCCGTGGCGTCAGCCTAGCTCACAGCAACCTCAGACTCCTGGGCTCAAGCAATCCTGCTGCCTCAGCCTCCCAAGTAGGTGGGGCTACAGGCATGCGCCACCATGCCGGACTGATTTTTTTCTATATATATTAGTTGGTCAATTAATTTCTTTCTAGTTATAGTAGAGACGGGGTCTCACTTTTGCTCAGGCTGGTTTCGAACTTCTGACCTCGAGCAATCCGCCCACCTCAGCCTCCCACAGTGCTAGGATTATAGGAGTGAGCCACCGTGCCTGGCAAGATATTGTATATTTATTATTTAAAATATGTATACATAATGAAATGGCTAAATCAAGCTAATTAATATATGCATTACCTTATTTTTGTGTAGTTAGAATATGTAAAATCTGTTAGCAATTTTCAGGTATGTCATACATTGTTATTAACTATAGTCACTATGATCTATAGCAGAGCTTAAACCCATCATGGATGCTGATCCACTTACTGACTTCTGATTGATCCCAGTTCCAGGAATGCCTCTAAGATTTCTATTTTATCTACTTGGCCCCTTAGGTCAGGACAAGATGTTATCAGGTGCCCTACACATTTCCTCTGAAGCACATATACCCTTTCTCTATGGTATATAAACCCTGTTTTTGGTGGGTAACAGGGCAGGGATCCACCATCTCTTGGTCACCCAAGACATGGCTTCTGTTCTTAAGTCCTTAATAAAAGTTTCTTCCCGAGAAACTGGATTTGTCAGCCTCCTTCTTGGGCATTTCAGCTCCCTCAGCATTTGGGGGTAGGTCTGCATAGACCTGCTGACTGTGGAACATCAGCATGTTGTGCAATAGATCTTTTGAATTTATTCCTCCTGTCTAGCTAAAATTTTGTGTTCTTTGACCAAAATCTGCAAAACTCCCCCAATCCCTCAGCTCCTAGTAACCACCATTTTACTGTCTGCTTCTATGAGTTCAATGCTTTTAGATTCCACATATAAGTGAGATGACATTTGTCTTTCTGTGCCTGGCTTATTTAACATAATGTCCTTTGGGTTTATCCATGTTTTTGCAAATGACAGGATTTGTTCTTTTTTATGGCTGAATAGTATTCCATTGTGTGTATATACTATAATTTCTTTATCCATTCATCACTGATGGATGCTTAGGTTGATTCCATATCTTGGCCATTGTGAGTAATGCTGCAGTGAACATGGCAGTGCAGATATCACTCCTACATACTGATTTCATACTGATTTCATTTTCCTAATCAATATTCTTTTTCCTTTTTTTTTTTACATTGAGGAGTACATCCACAAAGTCAATATTTTTTAATAATATTTTGTTGCATTCAGAAGATTCATTAATTTATATAGTGATAGTTTTTTGTTGTTGTTTTTTTTTTTGAGACAGAGTCTCACTCTATTGCCTGGACAAGGGTGCCATGGTCTCAGCCTAGCTCACAGCAACCTCAAACTCCTGGGCTCAAGCAATCCTCCTGCCTCAGCCTCCCGAGTAGCTGGGACTACAGGCATGTGCCACCATGCCCGGCTAATTTTTTCTATATATTTTTAGTTGACCAATTAATTTCTTTCTATTTTTAGTACAGATGGGGGTCTCACTCTTGCTCAAGCTGGTTTCGAACTCCTAACCTTGAGCGATCCGCCCACCTCGGCCTCCCAGAGTGCTAGGATTACAGACGTGAGCCACTGTGCCCGGCCAGAGATAGTTTTTTAAAAATCTACATTGTGAGGCTGAGGCAGGCGGATTGCTCGAGGTCAGGAGTTAGAAACCAGCCTGACCAAGAGCGAGACCCCGTCTCTACTATAACTAGAAATAAATTAATTAGCCAACTAATATATATAGAAAAAATTAGCCGGGCATGTTGGCACATGCCTGTAGTACCAGCTACATGGCTGAGGCAGAAGGATTGCTTGAGCCCAGGAGTTTGAGGTTCCTGTGAGCTAGGCTGACACCACGGCACTCACTCTAGCCTGGGCAACAAAGTGAGACTCTGTCTCAAAAAAAAAAAAAAAAAAAAGTCTACATTGTGCTTTGTGATTGTAGGCTCTCAAGCTGTATATTCTTATCACAGTCTAATTGTAAATAAATTGAATTTATTCTTCACAAAACACATTAGGAAGTGAAAAACCAGGCCCCTCGCTCCCATATGCACCAGAATGGAGAAATAGGATATGGTTCAAGGAAAAGTATTTGCTGTCAGTACGAACATTTTTAGTATGTAAATTATCAATAACATGCAATGAAAACAGTCGCCTTCAAGGTGATACGAACAGTTTCTCAGTTGGAGAGGAAAAAAGCTGGAGAGAAAAAGGAATCAAATATATTCTGTGAACATCTGTACACTCATTGTCAGTCTTTGCAGAAAAGCCAAGGCCCTTCCTTTAAGCATCTATCCATTGATAGGTCTGCATTGTTTTTCTTGCCTAAGCCACAACCAAATGGTATGATTTCTAGTTTTAATTTCTTTAAAGGAAAAATTTAAAAATATTTGCAGTCCAGGTATGGTGGCTCACACCTGTAATCCTAGCACTTTGAGAGGCTGAGGCAGGAGGATCGATGGCTTTAGGCCAGGAGTTTGAGACTGGCCTGAGCAATGTAGCCAGACCCCATCTTTACAAAAAAATAGAAAAATTAGCCCACGTGTGGTGGCATGCTCCTGTAGTCCCAGCTACTCAGGAGGTTGAGGCAGGAGAATTGCTTGAGCTCAGGAGCTTGAGGTTGCTGTGAGCTATGGTGATACCACTGCATTCTAGCCTGGGTAACACAGCAACACCCTGTCTCAAAAAATAATTTTTTTTGCAAAGCAATCTGAGGATATAATCATTCTGGATTTTATAATTTTTCCCTCTATTATTATAGTTGTCTCTTATTCAATAATGCTTTTTGAGGACTCTTTTTTATTGACACTTACCAAAGCCTCCAATTCTTTGTTTTTAAGCTCATGTTCCATTATCTAACATTATATTTAATTAATTTAGTTATTAAAAGTAAAATTGTAATGTAGAGTTTTGGAAAGAAGTCAACAACTCTTGGTACTCAGACAACTCATTTGTTGGGACCAGGAGTTGCAGGTAGTAATGGAGGGGTGTTCTAGAGAGGAGCCTCTTGGCCCTGAAGTTCAGGTGTCTTTTGCATTAGTTTTAGAGAGTAATAGACAGAGGGATTAATCTGCCAGGTTACTTAGGTGGAGGGTGGTAAAAAGAGAGCTTCAACTGCACATCAATAAAAGCAGTCTCTGGGAATTCAAGTCAACATCTATTCCTCTCTTGCTTTCCCAACCCACATTCAATCATTCAGGAAACCCTCTTGGCTCCACTTTCAAAACATATCCAGAATTCAACCATTCCTCATCACTCTCGTACACCTCACCCTGCCCCAGGCCCTCTTTATGCCTCACCTGGATTATTGCAGTATACTCCCATCTTGCCTCCATACTGTTCATTCTTAACATAGACGCCAGAGTGGTCCTTTTCAAACATACATCAGATCATGTCTCTGTTTTGTTCAAACCCTCCAAATGGTTCCTCAACTCTCTCAGGGTAGAAGTCAAAGTCCTTACACAGCCTATAAGGCCCACCATACACCCTTCCTATTTGCTCATGGAGTAGGAGGTCATCTGCTTTTACTGTCTGCTATGGCCTAAATGTTTGTGTCCCTCCCCCACCAGATTTATGTGTTGAAATCTGAACCCCCAAGGTGATGGTGTTAGGAGATGGGGCCTTTGGCAGCTGATGAGGTCATGAAGGTAGAGCCTTTATGAGTGGCATTGGTGCCTGTATAAAGGAGGCCTGAGAGAGACCCCTCACCCCTTTCACCATGTCAGGACAGAGCAAGCAGGCACAGTCTATGATCCAAAAAGCAGGCCCTTACCAGACACTGAATCTACCTTGATCTTGGACTTCCCAGCCTCTGGGACTATGAGGAATAAATTCCTGCTGTTTATAAGCTACCCAGTTTATGGTGTTTTGTTATGGCACCCAACGAACCAAGACAGTCTCCATTTCACTCACACTGCTCCAGCCACACTGCCTTTCTTGCTGTGCCCTGAACATGCTCCCTTCTCCTCAGGACATTTGCACTTGCAAGTCTTTCTAAATGCAAAGCTTTCTCCAGATGTGGACATGGTTTCCTCCCTCAGCTCCATGTAAACTTTGCTCAAATGTCACTGTGTCAGT